TGTCTGCTTTCTTCAGTGCTCTATCCTCAGTATTTATAGTGTCAAATGTAAGAGGAGCTGGGTTACATTTTGAATGAATGCCTGCTTGCATTCACAAACATCTGCTAGCTGGCCTTTGACGGAACACTTTCAGGAATGGGGAACCTATCACTCCTTAAGGAAAATGATTTATTTTTTGACAATTCAATTAAAAGTTCCTTCAACTATGGACAATCATTCTGTGCCCCTCTAATTTCTATTGCATTTTTTTTTTGCTTCTGATTTTACTTAGAACAAGTGACTCTCAAGGGTCATCAAATACATAGGGCTTTGTCTGCTTAATACATCATTTTCAGCTAGAGCATAGTCACATTTCCAATGAAAAAGGAGTAGTGTAAGCTGACACCTGCAAGAAAATGGCTACTTGAAGAAGAGTAAAATATGAGATGCCAAAATATTGTTCCACAATGAACAAAAGTAAAGTACTTAATTTGTGGTTTACTAGCCTCAGTGAAACAGAGGATTCAGTGAACCAGTCTTCATGTTCTCCTTCTCTTCTGACTCTCTACCTTTTATCCTCATACTCAAACTCTTTGTTTTTATTTATTTATTAAATTTAACATCTTCAGAAGATATTGTCATCCACTTTTAACTGTATGTTTTTCAATTTTCTGGAAAACTGGATCTGCTCACACTCTGAAGTTCCCATAGGCATAATCAAAACATCCACGGAAGAAGTCTCAACTTGATGATTTTTAACTTCCCCCCGAACCCTGATAAGTTATAACACAGTGTAACATGACCCATGAGGGTCCTACACTCCAAATTCTTTTCTTTTCCCTAAAATTTTTAAACCGTTAAGATTTGGACTGGACTCAATCAATATATCTGCACTGTCTTCATCATGGCCCTCTTCATCTAAAGTCATAGAGGATTTTGGAGTTTTACTTAATTGTTGGCAGGGTAATTTATTCATATTATGATTCTTCGGTTGATTCTAATGACATTTAGCATTATTAATTTCATAGCCATTCTAATTATCTGTATTTTCTCCGATTGTTTTAAAATATATAAATGCTTCCACTGGCTATAGGTTGGCATTATTCTTTTATTTTGTGAAAAAGAAAAGTAGAAAACAGAATTTGACTAGAAAATTTCACTAATGGAAATTTCAAATAAGTTTCTTCAATTTGTTTTGTTTTACATATTAGCTGATTTTTGCCACAAATTATTGGGTTAATAAGAATTCAGTCAATACTTTGTAGATTTTATAGATTACAAAAATATGGACTTATAGCTTCACCATAGGTTAACATTTTATACTTAAATATGTTTCTTTTTCTTCTTTTCATGAAGGAAGTCATATTTATTACTTCAGTTTTTCTCTGATAATTCCAGGGCTTGAAGAAATTCGGTCCCATCTAGTAACTTTCCCGTCAA